AAAAGAAAATTTAAAGTTCAATTGAATAATTATGTTGTTGGTTTTTAAACGCTTCCATAATTATTCTTTAAATCTCGTAAAAGAACAATAGCTAAGATTAATCCAAAGATTTCAACAAAGAAGAAGAAGAGTGAAACACCACCTAATGCTTTGGAGTATCGGAAAAATAAAGTACGAGCGGATTGATAACAACCTGGAGTAAAATACATGGTAGAATTTGTTGTTGTACTTGATCGACAATCATTGTTAAGACAACATGAATTTGGTGGTACTCCTTGAGGACGTTTAGCAAAGGTTCGCCAATCATCAGCACTGTCAACACCACAACATGACCATTTTTGTTGAAGACGATCCCATTCTGTTACAATATCACTATTTCCTCCAACATATGCTGGTAATGAATTACGTAATTTTTCATGTAATTGGCTATCTGCTTTACCACGAAGTGTAAATCCGACAATAACAGCAATAAATTGAAGTAATAAGACTATTAATAATGTACCAATAAAAATTTGTAATAAACCTAAACGATTTTTATATGCACCAATAAAGCCTAGAGAAAAACGGAAATAATTTGATTTGATTCTTATAAATTAAAATAAATTTACCAAGAGCTGATAAGATGATAATAATAACACCTAATGCAATAATAAAACCAGCACCAGACATAATTGAATGGCCAGTAATTTCAGCAACTAAAATAATAGTTAGATTTTTATGTTTTATTCGAGAAAAATAATTTAATTGAACTTACATTGTGATGCATGTCGATGAGCTACACTACCGGTGATAAGAAGTGAAAGACCGGCAATAAAATATAATACCAAAAATACAAAAAAAAGTGTTTTATTTAAACGCATCTTTTTTATTAACTGACTAACAAATTTTATCTATCGATCTTCTAATGTACGATCTAGAATGAATAAACAACGATAGAATAATGTAGTTATAATAATCAGTTCATCTCTATCCTGGACGACGAAAATAATATGATACCTCGATGATAGAAAAGAAAAGAAATTCTTTGGTTTAAATGAAGAGAGATATAGTTTCAACCAATTGTCGTCAAATCGACTAGTACTATCGTTTTCACATTTGTATGCATAAAGAAAGAACGTATAAGTGGGAGTATAGACATTAAAATCTGAAGTGGCTTAACTACTTTTTTTTCATTCTAGGGTGATCGAATAACCATGTAGATAAATTACTTGTGTCGGATCTTTTTCTCATTGATCGTATGAATGAAAATAGATTTGCAATTCTTTTTTTTCGTTTTTTACTTTCTCGTTATTTTATCAGATTTATAGTAATAATGAATCAATTAGATTCCATTTGTTTTTCGTAGGAAGGTCGATGAATAATAAAAATAATATAAAGAGAAAGAAAGAATCAATACTTATCAGTTGAATAAATTAAAAAGGTCATCACATAATCGAAATAGTAAAAGGTAAAATGATATTTTATAGTAGAATCGAACATAATTTGTATATGAATAATAGGTTATTAAATATATTATAATAGAGACTGAAAATTAGACGGTATAATAATTCTATGAAAGGGCGAAAGTTGTATTTGAACCTTTCATTTTACGCAAGGTATCAATATATTATTTAATAAACATCTTGAATATTAGAAATAGGAATACAAGAAGGTGACATATTCTGGAAATCTATTTTATTACATTATATCTATATGATTATGTGTATATTGATATATGTTGATAATCTCAAACGTGTCTTTTATTAACAATATATATTGTTCGTAAATTTCGAGATCATTTAATAATATATACTCATTTGAATCGGAACTCTTTTCAAAACAAACATGATATATTGCATATAAGAAACAAACATATGAACTGAAAAACATTTCTTTTTTTTCACATAATAATTCTCATATATTGATTTGAATTATATTTCCGTAATGAGATAATTTGTTTTGTAAGAGTTAGTTGAGATTAATCAGTCATAAAATAAATTATAAATGTAAGTAGAACAAGATGACATATATATAATTGCATAATATTTTTCATATGTTGGTAACTCATGTTAAGAAAAGTTGAATAAATATAGAGAATTTAATGAATCACAAAGAAAATGTCAACAGAGAATAAAATGGACTTTGTTTGAAGAGAAGATATATATATACATGTATTATTATCATATAGTGATGATATCATCGAACGATGTTTTTTGATTATTTTTTACTGGTTAAAACTCTCATACAGAACGAGAGCAAAATATGGGTGTGTTCTTTTTTTTTGCTGACTACTTTGAGTATTATTATAGAATGATTTGTTTATTTAATATTTAAACGAATAATTCTAAAAAGAATTCTATTTTTTTTGTTATACATAGAAATAGATAATAAATATTTTTTTTTAAGAATCTTTCTAGAAAAATTTAAAAAAAAATATGTTTATTATAATGGAAAATTTGTTATCTCCTTGGTTGTTGATTATTCCGATTATTACGATGATTTTCCTATATATTCGTCGAATGAATAATAGCACATCAAAAGTTCGAGCACCTCGCCGAGGTGTTGATCGTAGTTTAACATATATTCGTCAATATCCATGTGGTTGGTATCGTATTTGTGATTCTACTGATATACCAAAACGAGGTCAAGTTAAACATGCTTTTGCATTCGGTCGAGAATTAGTTATTTTTCGATCCGATGATGAATCAAGTCAAGTTTATGTCCTTGATGCATTTTGTATACATATGGGTGCAAATTTAGCTATTGGTGGACGTGTTATGCCAGGCACAAATTGTATTCAATGTCCTTTTCATTTATGGGAATTCAATGGACAAGATGGTCATTGTACAAAAATTCCTTATTTAGATGGAAAAATACCTGAAAAAGTATTTTGTTTCTATTAATTATCCATATTTAATAAGAATATAACTTTTCTAGGCTAAAATGCAATCATATCCATGTGTTGAACGTCATCAAATGGTTATGATTTGGTATCATCCATCAAATGAACCACCTCATTATGATGCAATTTGTATCGATGAATTATCAACTAGTCGTTTTGAATTTCGAGGTGTTTATCGTTATCCAAATATTCATATGCATTTACAAGAATTTGCTGAAAATGCTGCTGATGTTCAACATTTTCAACCATTACATGGTCAAATGTTAATACCATGGACGGAATGGCATGTACCATTTGTTAAAGTTCATCATCAAGCATCATTAGAATTTGATGAAAAACCATATCTTGCATATTTTTATGATACAGCAATGATACAAATCTTTGGTAAGCAATATCCATCAACAAAAGTTGATGCATCAATTACATTTCATGGACCTGGTGGTATAACATTATTTCGTTTTGATGGATCATTTGGAAGAATTTATTTATTTCATACACATACACCAACAGGTTATACAGAATTAGATGTGGAATTTTTAGCTTTTGTCGAAACAAAAATTCCAAGATTATTAAATTGGTATGTTATTGGAAATTGGATTGCACAATGGCAAAGAGATATATCTATTTGGGAAAATAAAGTATGAAGAAATTATGCACAGAAATAAAGCTTATTTTATTTTAATTTAGGTACATAAACGTGCACCCTTTCTTGTAAAAAATGATGGTCCTATATTGAAAATGCGTCGATGGTATAATCAATTTTATGTTTCGAAAGATGAACAAGAAACATTGGATTGGTGATTTTTGTTTAATATAATATTTTAAATAATAATAATTTTTTTGTAATCGTTTAATTATATTCGATAGAACAGAAATCATCAATAATAGATTTCTTTTTCATTCGTAATTTCTTTTATTTATTTATAATAGAATGAAAGATAATAATTATTCGTTTTAGATTTTAAACTAGAGTTCAATTAAATATCAATGGCTCTTCATATATTTTCGATACAGAATTAAATTATTCCGATTAATGGAGAAAGATAACATTGTCATTCATTATTGCATCCTGCTATTCTATTTACATTATATGTAGTCTAGTCAGTCACGAACCCCGAGGAGGACAGGTCCTCCCTAAAAAATAAAAATGCTTGGAGGGGAGTACGGGCTTATCAAATGTCACAAGCCGAAAAAGTTTTTCTAGGCAGTAATCCCCCAATTCCCGGAAAAAATTTCTAGGTGCGTGCCTGAGTGTAGTTTTTGATTGTTAGCTTTAACAAATATCTCGTTTTGAATTTTTATTTATTTATAAAAAGCGAAAATGAAAATATCGATGAATAAGATAAGTTAAACTACAAAAAAAGATAAAAAATTTTTTTGATGGGTCGAGTACCCAAGCAGCATCCTCTGTAAAGACGAATTAACCTAGAAGTATGTGAAACTCGAGACACTGACGTAGAATAAAATAAAAAAAGTCTGTCTTTATAATAGACGATGAATTTCCTAGGAGAAATAAATATATTTTAACATGGAATAATAACGATATATAACTTAAAGAACGAAAGCTTTTTATTAAATGTGTCTATAGAGATTTTTTTAACAGTCTCGTATAAAATGTCATGTATGACCTATTATCCTAAAAGTACGATATAGATACTAGTCTTTTCAGTGTTATTTACATAGCTCTTTGTTTTTTTATCAAATGACTCATCGTAAAATCATCAAAAAATGACATATTTTAAGTTTGATTATTAATCATGGTTACATATTTTGAAGGTACTTAAACTACTTTTCGAAAGTCATGATTTAAAAAATGCAGAGGATATTATTATTTATGGTGTGTTCATTTCCGTCTATTTTTTCAGGAGAAAATTTGAATATCACATGATGCCTATTAAAAAACTTTCCGGAAATAGATATTAAATACGCTATTCATTATATTATATTACACATATGTAATAATTTCAATTTGTATATATATATGATATGTTAAACATTAACGACATTCTATACAGAATAATAAACGTTCATTAATAAAAAAAAGTTGTATTTCATCAGGATCAATCATTAAGAACTTAAGAAATGAGTGATATTATCTATTATTAAAAGTAAGTGACTAGAAAACCTTCATCTTTCACAAGATATAAACACATCTTTGTCCTGATCTCTTATTCTTTCGAATAATACTCTTTATATATAAGAATATGAATGCATTATATAATTGCAAATTACCTGTAGAAAACAAAAAAATTATATTAAAAGATTAGAAAAAAAATTTTTGACAGGAAAATAAGAACTAGAAAAGGACGATCTTAACTAAAAGAAACGTCATTTCTATTTTACTATCAACAGGAAATACCGATGGGTTGTTCTTATTCAACATTAAATCGAATTGAAACTGAACAACGTTTTAAACCCGATGACATTTTATATTTAACACAATCATGGAATATGATCAAAGCTCATGAATTTCAAAAATTTACTCAACAAATTCTCATAAGGTAAAGAAAATTTCGAAAAATAAAGAAAAATCAAAAATTGTTATACATTTAGAACTATTAATCAAAGTCCATCATTTCGTAAATTGTGTATGTCAAAAGTGAATGTTGATGGAAATAATTATGATTTTGGTCAACATGATTCATGTTTAAGAGATGATAAAAGTTGGCAAATGGGATTACCTGATTATAGTTTACAAGTGATTTATACAGTTGATGAACTTTTATCAATTATTAGTAATAAAAATCATTCGAAAATACAATTTGAATCTTTTAATCTAATTGAAAAGGATATGTTTATTGGAAATGAAACTTTATTGGTATATTTTTCTTAATCTAAAACTTTTTTTAATATATTTACTCTTTCTTTTTAAAGATAATCAAACAAAATATATTGGAAATGCTACGTGAACAACTTCCAATTCTAAATTACAATTTTACAATTGATGTCGAACGAGCATGGAATAAATTTTTAACTTTTATTATTGAATATATGTCGAAAAATAAATGAATGACGTAAAAATAATTATGCACTAAGAATAACTGTGAGATTCTATAAATAATTAATTAGCATACTCTTTAAAAATAAATCTATTATGATATATATAAATTATATTCTTTTCAGAATTACTACAAAAAAGTATATAATGAGAGAACTTATTCTTTTGAAGAAGTGACAAATTATCGTATTGTATATCGCATAGTCTAGGAAAGTATGAATTATTAAATAGGAACCAATTCTTTTATTCAAAAATGTTTATATATATCCGGGTACACATTAGAAGACCCCC